ATTATAGTTGCCTCTTACGACACCTATGGCTTATGGAGGAAGAATTCTGTTCCACTTCCCCATAGACATAAGAAATAAACAAGAACAAGAAAATAGAAGAAAACCCAGAGGGATGTATATATATATATATATATATATATATATATATATATATATATATATATATATATATATATATATATATATATATATATATATATATAATTATATTATATATATATCTTGCCGAATAGGCAGAACTTGAGATCTTGGGTTAAATAGCAACGCTCATCTTGCCATATAGGACAATTGAAAATTTGTTTATGCAATAATTTCGCCAAAATCATTCTGAACCTAACGAAAAAAATATATTTCACTGTGTTTGTTTAGTATTAAATTATTGTAAACAAATCTAGAATATATTTAGTTGGGTTAGGCTAAAATAAATTGCGATTGTTATAATAAGGTTAGGTAAGTTTTCTAAGTTCCTTTTGGTGCAAAATTATAAATTTTTACATCAACATTAATGAAAAAAATATATCTTTAAACGTATAAGAGAAAATTTTAGAAAGGGCTTAATTTTAAGTGAGTTCTTACTAATTGACCAGTTTTACATATTCGGCACGACATATATATATATATATATTATATAAATATATATATATATATATATATATATATATATATATATATATATATATATATATTAAATATATGTATATATATACACGATTTTACGTGATATGGTCTTTCCGTATTACAGTATCTTATAACTTATCTTCAGTATCTTATCTCATTAGGTTATCTCCGGAATCTGTATTTTCGTTTTTATGAAGTATATGTAGATTAATAGCACTTGTGTGTCTTGCTTATGGATGCAACTGAGAGTCAAGCACTGCACTAGGCTATTTTTTATTTAAGAAGCGTTTCGTTCATTTGGGATCTTTGACAAAATTTCAGTGAGCGAAACGTTTTCGTAATAAAAATATCCTAGAGTTTTGTATGTGTCTTATTGAAAATAAAGACACATTAAATATTGAAAGTTGCCTCGTTAGATTTCCTGAGTATTTTATCTTCTTAGTATTAAAGTTCTTCACATTTTTGTAGAGGAAATTTAAAACATTATGCTTCACTTTAATGTTATGTAAATAAGAGACATGTACAACACCTGGGTGTTTTTAATGACGGAAAATTGGCTTTGTTAATTCAGTACAGGGATTATATACCGGAAACAGTGGAAGAAATGATGAGGTAATTTCGCTGTGTCTGGTCCCCCAGCCTTATCAAAAGGTGTTCTGTTCCCCAGCCTTAACAGAAGGTGTTCTGTTCCCCAGCCTTAACAGAAGGTGTTCAGTCTCTCAGCCTTAACAGAGGGTGTTCAGTCCCTCAACCTTGACAGAAGGTGTTCTGTCTCTCAGCCTTAACAGAAGGTGTTCAGCCTCCCAGCCTTAACAGAATGTGTTCTGTCTCCCAGCCTTAACAGAAGGTGTTCAGTCTCTCAGCCTTAACAGAAGGTGTTCAGTCTCTCAGCCTTAACAGAAGGTGTTCAGTCTCTCAGCCTTAACAGAAGGTGTTCAGTCCCTCAACCTTGACAGAAAGTGTTCAGTCTCCCAGCCTTAACAGAAGGTGTTCAGTCTCTCGGCCTTAAAAGAGAGTGTTCAGTCTCCCAGCCTTAACAGAAGGTGTTCAGTCTCTCAGCCTTAACAGAAGCTATTCAGTCCCTCAACCTTGACAGAATGTGTTCAGTCTCTTAGCCTTAACAGAAGGTGTTCAGTCTCTCAACCTTAACAGAAGGTGTTCAGTCCCTCAACCTTGACAGAAAGTGTTCAGTCTCTCAGCCTTAATAGAAGGTGCTCAGTCTCTCAGACATAACAGAAGGTGTTCAGTCTCTCAGCCTTAACAGAGGGTGTTCAGTCCCTCAACCTTGACAGAAGGTGTTCAGTCTCCCAGCCTTAACAGAAGGTGTTCAGTCCCTCAACCTTGACAGAAAGTGTTCAGTCTCTCAGCCTTAACAGAAGGTGTTCAGTCTCTCAGCCTTAACAGAAGGAGTTCAGTCCCTCAACCTAAACAGAAGGTGTTCAGTCCCTCAACCTTGACAGAAGATGCTCAGTCTCCCAGCCTTAACAGAAGGTGTTCAGTCTCTCAGCCTTAACAGAGGGTGTTCAGTCCCTCAACCTTGACAGAAAGTGTTCAGTCTCCCAGCCTTAACAGAAGAAAGAAGGTGTTCAGTCTCTCAGCCTTAACAGAAGGTGTTCAGTCCCTCAACCTTGACAGACAGTGTTCAGACTCTCAGCCTTAACAGAAGGTGTTCAGTTTCTCAGCCTTAACAGAAGGTGTTCAGTCCCTCAACCTTAACAGAAGGTGTTCAGTCTCCCAGCCTTAACAGAAGGCGTTCAGTCCCTCAACCTTGACAGAAGATGCTCAGTCTCCCAGCCTTAACAGAAGGTGTTCAGTCTCTCAGCCTTAACAGAGGGTGTTCAGTCCCTCAACCTTAACAGAAGGTGTTCAGTCTCCCAGCCTTAACAGAAGGTGTTCAGTCTCTCAGCCTTAACAGAAGGTGTTCAGTCTCCCAACCTTAACAGAAGGTGTTCTGTCTCCCAACCTTAAAAGAAGGTGTTCTGTCTCCCAGCCTTAACAGAAGGTGTTCAGTCTCTCAGCCTTAACAGAAGGTGTTCAGTCCCTCAACCTTGACAGAAAGTGTTCAGTCTCTCAGCCTTAACAGAAGGTGTTCAGTCTCTCAGCCTTAACAGAGAGTGTTCAGTCTCCCAGCCTTAACAGAAGGTGTTCAGTCTCTCAGCCTTAACAGAAGGTGTTCAGTCCCTCAACCTTGACAGAAAGTGTTCAGTCTCTCAGCCTTAACAGAAGGTGTTCAGTCTCTCAGCCTTAACAGAGAGTGTTCAGTCTCCCAGCCTTAACAGAAGGTGTTCAGTCTCTCAGCCTTAACAGAAGCTATTCAGTCCCTCAACCTTGACAGAATGTGTTCAGTCTCTTAGCCTTAACAGAAGGTGTTCAGTCTCTCAACCTTAACAGAAGGTGTTCAGTCCCTCAACCTTGACAGAAAGTGTTCAGTCTCTCAGCCTTAACAGAAGGTGTTCAGTCTCTCAGACATAACAGAAGGTGTTCAGTCTCTCAGCCTTAACAGAGGGTGTTCAGTCCCTAAACCTTGACAGAAGGTGTTCAGTCTCCCAGCCTTAACAGAAGGTGTTCAGTCTCTCAGCCTTAACAGAGGGTGTTCAGTCCCTCAACCTTGACAGAAGGTGTTCAGTCCCTCAGCCTTAACAGAAGGTGTTCAGTCTCCCAGCCTTAACAGAAGGTGTTCAGTCCCCCAGCCTTAACAGAAGGTGTTCAGTCTCCCAACCTAAACAGAAGGTGTTCAGTCTCTCAGCCTTAACAGAGAGTGTTCAGTCCCTCAATCTCGACAGAATGTGTTCAGTCTCCCAGCCTTAACAGAAGGTGTTCAGCCCCTCAGCCTTAGCAGAAGGTGTTCAGTCTCCCAGCCTTAGCAGAAGGTGTTCAGTCTCTCAGCCTTAACAGAGGGTGTTCAGTCCCTCAACCTTAACGGAAGGTGTTCAGTCTCCCAGCCTTAACAGAAGGTGTTCAGTCTCTCAGCCTTAACAGAAGGTGTTCAGTCCCTCAACCTTGACAGAAAGTGTTCAGTCTCTCAGCCTTAACAGAAGGTGTTCAGTCTCTCAGCCTTAACAGAGAGTGTTCAGTCTCCCAGCCTTAACAGAAGGTGTTCAGTCTCTCAGCCTTAACAGAAGGTGTTCAGTCCCCCAACCTTGACAGAAAGTGTTCAGTCTCTCAGCCTTAATAGAAGGTGTTCAGTCTCTCAGCCTTAACAGAAGGTGTTCAGTCCCTCAACCTTGAC